CCGCACCTTGCTCGCCGCCTTGGCCGAGGAGCCGCCGGCGGCGCTGGAGGCGGCGGCGGCCCCGGAGCCGCCGCCCTCAGTCGGTCGCGGGGTCCCCGCGGTCGCGCCCGCCGCGTTGGAGCCGGCGTTGGAAGCGCTAGAGGCGGCAGCGGCGGCGGCGCTTCGGCTGCTCTTCTCCTTCCGCTTCTTCTTGTCCCGCTTGGCGAAGAAGTCGTCCAGGCTCCGCTCCTCGGTCTCCGCCATGGCGGCGGCCGGGCGGGGACAGGAGGGCAGCGGCGGCCCGGGCTAAGAGGTGAGCGGCGCGGCCCTCCCGCTGCTCGGCGAGCGCGGCCGCCCGGCTGCGGCTGCTGCGGCGGCTCCTGCCCGGGCCCGCCCGGCGGCCCGCGCACCCCACGCCTGACGCGGCCCGCAGGGAGCGAGGGGCTGAGGAGAGACGGGGCGGGGCCGCGCCCCTGACCGCGCACGCGCTGCCACGCCGCGGCCAATGAGCGCCGCCGACCGCTCGGGGGCGTCTCCAGAAAGGGGCGAAAGGCTCTGACGTTGAGGCGCGTGAGGACGCGCGCGCCGGGCGCGGGGAGGGCGGCGGCGAAGCGGTCGCGGATTGGCCGAGCCGGGCGGGACGGCGCGTGCGCGCTCGAGGGCCGGGCTCGCGCCGGCCCCTGCCGCCCCGCCCTTCCGCGTGCGGGCGGCGCCGGGGTCCGTGAGGGGCAGGGACGCGGTGGGCACCGGCCGGGAGGGACACGGGGCGTGCCGGGAGCGGTGTGCCCGGCAGAGCGAGGGAGGTGATCCTGCCCCTCCGCTCAGCTCTAGTGAGGCCACTTGTGGAGTGCTGTGTCCGGGTCTGGGTTGATTAGGACAAGAAGGGCGAGCTGCTGGAGAGGGTGCAGTGGGGCGGGGGGGGGCGCAAAGATGATGAGGGGACTGGAGCATCTCTTTATGAGGGCAGGCAAGACTGCAGGAGCTGGGCCTGTTCAATCTAAAGACACAGATTGGGTAGTCTCATAAATTTACATAAATGTCTCCAACGCAGGTGCCAAGAGGGTTCTGGGCTCTTTTTCGTAGTGCCCAGCAACAGGGCAAGGAGTAATGGCCATAAGCTAAATCACGAGAAACTCCACCTTAGTGTGAAGAAGAACTTTATATTGAGGATAGCAGAGCACTGGAAGAGGCTGCCTGGGGACAGTGTGGCGTCTCCCTCTCTGGAGGTATTCAGACCCCTTCTGGATGTGTTCCTCTGTCACCTCCTCTAGGTCACCCTGCCTTGGCAGCAGGTTGGATTGGATGATCTCCAGAGGCCCTTCCAACCCTGACGATTCTATGACTGAGACCAGCATAGCTCCTCTGGGAGCCTTTGGCTGCTTCCCGCATTGGGTGCAGGCCCTTTCTGTCAGGACCTATCCCAGGAGGCTGAGAGAGCTGCTGGAGCAGCCCCAGTCCTCAGCTGGTCCCTCAGGCTCGGGGCCAGCCCAGCTCCCCCCAGCCCTTGAGGAAAGGTGACATTTATTCCCATCATGGACTGTGGGGACAGAGGCACTGCCTCCCACATCTCAGTAAGGGCTGTGAACTTACCCTGTCATTGCACAGGGTGCAAGGAAGTCATTGAGCTTTCATCTTGGGTCTGTGTGGTTAAGTGAGTAAGTCTTGAAACACCACTCTGTCTAGGATGTCCAGATGCGTTGGCCTGAGCTTCCTAGCTGCTTTTCTGTCTAGGTTGAAGCCTAGGGAATATATGCTGGAAAACAAACTTCACAGCTGGTGTCTGCAGATTGTTACCTCTCACTCTGGGTACTGTAGTGACCTTTAACTGGAAAAAAACATGGGTGTTTAAAAAGTTCACTGGCTTCAAATCACGTCAAAAGCTTTAAGGCAGGACATTTGGAAAAACATCCTCAGCCTGTCATGACTCATAAATAATTACATGAAACACTGTTTCCAATTACTTACTTCTTTCATCAGCCATCTAAAGGAGATAGAAGTTCCTACTGGTAAAGTGTGAGCCCAAATGAGAATTACCCATCAAATATGTATTGATTTGTATTACAATTATATAAAAGTAGGCATGTTTGTATTCTGGAGTTATTTGGTATAATTTATGTATGTCATATTTTCACTTGAAATAACTATATATGTGTGTATTAGCATATAAATTAAAAGTTTTTCCACCCTTTGGAGGTTGACAGTCTCAACTTATGTCCATGACAATGCTGTTACTTAGTGTTTTCCTTCGGTATTTCTCAGGCTGTTTGAAAAAACAGGCAAGGTGCCATTGACGTTGCAGAAAGAGTTTAAATACACGTCTTCATGAGGTGTTGTAGCTGTGAGTAACTGAGTCACTGTAGTCAGGCATTCTGCCTTTGGGAAATGTGTTACAATCCTCCTTTTATGCGTCACCTGATGTCCTCGTATTTTTGCTACCTGTGTACTTAGAGGATTTGAGCCTGCACAGAGCAGGCCCTAGAGAGCCAAAAGCTGCAAGCATAACAATTCATTTGGTAACACCAAGAATGTCACGTGATCAGTGACACTTTCCACTTGTGATAGGAATCATTACTGAAGCAGGGAGCAAATTTGGTAGCAAATCTCATTTTTCTGTGCCTCCTGGGTACTCCCTTCCTACTGTCCCCTTCAGCTGATGGAAGGTCATGGGGAAGGTGTGACAGGGAACAGCTGGGTGTGGAAGAGTGTTTGACATTCCTGTTGTCAAAGGCCGCATTCCCTTGTGTTTGTGCTCCTTTATTTCCTGGGAAGCCAGCATACCTCCAGCACTGCCCCATGCTGGGACTTGCAGGCTCAGCACTGGTAATACCATTCTACTTAGCAGACAGTTTGTGTCCCTCAGCTTTTGTGGTAGATAATGTACTAATAATTGTGGTAGATAATGTACTGTGCCTGATTCTGTGCCGATCATTTCTTGAATTTCAGCAAGTGGTAAAATATTTTCTTTGTATTATTACAGATAGTCCCATTATCGGACTGGAGAATGTGAACCTGATGCCTTTTTGCAGCTTTTAGCATCTCTGTCACTCGTCTCTTGCAAACACAATACTGTAAGGCTGGAATGCCCAGCTCTGGATTGAAAACTTAATACCTGTCAGGAGCAGTGCACCAAGAAACATTTCAGCTGTTAAATCTGGAACAGACTCAGCAGAAATCATGGAAAACAGCAGCAACGTTTTATGCCTCAGAAGGCTTAGATCCCGATTTAAAGGCATGTCTTGGTGCTTTAAAGGAAGCATTAGTTATGCAGTTATGCTTGGATTTACCTCCCACCTCTAGTTTTATTTTTATGTAAAACTGTGAAAATGTGCTGATGCGTGGCATTTGTATTTCTGTATGAATGCATTGCTTCAGCTTTTACCATTAAGATTCCCATTGTGTAAAAAGTTAGATGCAGGAAAAAGGTAATTTTTTGTGTTTTTCTTTTCCTTTCTCAAATTCAACGTCCCTCAACACTTGCATAGAGGACACTTGGCTGAAGAATGGCTCACAGGCACGGACTGGCAGAAGTGATGTTTGTAATGCAAGGAATATATCCAGAACGCCACATAGCTGTGCCGGGAGCATGAGCTCAGCACACAGCTCCCTGCTGCACTGTGCATCACTGACCTGTGTGACCTGCCTTTGGCAAGACACAGCGCTCTGAGTGCCTCTGCTTAGGTACAGATTTACCCCCAGGACTCCGAGGACTTTGTCTCCTCCCCATACAGTGGTGCTTGCCTGGCTCTTCTCCATTCTGTAGCTATGGCAAGTCCTGCCATGGCGCTGCTCCCTGTGCGTCTTGGTGTGTTTTATAAAGCCTGAAGCGTGAAGCATGTAGGGAAAATGAAAGTGGTGCAGTGGGCACTGTTGGCTTGGAGAAACTGAAGGAAGGAAATTTGAAGTGAGTTGTGGGTGATGCAAGAGTTAGGAGCAGACTTCCATTTCCAGTCTCCCAGTGTTTCATCTTCCTTTGTACCCAATTATCTCCATTCTGTGACATGAAGGTGACAGCACTGCAAACTGCATTCACATTTGTGGAGCACAAGCAGAAGAACATTCAGTAACTCCTGGGCAGATGCCTGCTTGAAAATTGGACGTTGGAGAAGGTGCCCTTAGGACAGCAGAGCAGCTTGCAGAAAGGTTCTGGTGGAGTCCTTGTCACATCATGGGCCCACTTCTCTGTAGAAGCCTAGCCTTTGTCTAAGCTCAGAGTCTGGTGGTAGTTTCAGACCTCTACAACCAGAAGGGAGAAGTTTTATCCACCACCATTTCTCCACCACTGATTGCCATCTGAATGCAGGCACTGGTGCCAGCAGTTCATGGTGGTTTGTTAAACTATTGAATTTTAGACTGTGCCAGAGTGAAAATTACCTTAAAAATGATCTTTTAACCACAGAATCAGTATGATAGTTCTTATACTAAAATAGAAACAGCAGAATGATGGGCTAGAATACCAGTTTCTAGCTGGTGTGCTATGTTGCTGCTCAGTGTGAAATCTTAAATGAGGCAGGGGCTCACATAGAGCTAGCACCCTCTCCTTCCCCCAGGGACGCAGCAGTGTGGGTTCAGGCTGTGGTGCAGAAGAAGCTGTGCCTGGCTGGAAGGAGTATAAAGTACACATCTGGTTTGAGAGCACAGCTCATCTGACCTAGTGACTGGCTATCACCAAGGGGGTGACTGTGCTTTACAGTCTCGACTAGTTCCTCTCCACCTCCCATCCCTGTGCTGTCATTGGTACGTGTCTGTCCCTGCAGTGGCCGGATCCAGGAAACCAAGTGTCAGGAAAGTTTTCCAGCATTTTGCAGGGCTATTTTTCTGCTGATTTTGAATCTTGAGCTGTCTCCTGAGACATCGGACAGATGTTGGTGCTAACACGAGACTATGCAATGGGAATACATAGCACATGAGGGGGAGCAGAAGTGTCTTTTTGTGCAGCAGCTGGCTGTTAGATTGTATTATCTGTGCTCTCTGACTGCATCCTGAGTGTTCATAACAGCAAATGCCACAAATTCCTTCACAGGAATATAGGTGTGAGAGATACTGCAGTGGGAGATAATAAAATCTGTTTTCTGGTGCTGATTTTCTGTGGAAGACCAGTTGGAAATGTGTTCATGTGTATTTAATAAAGCAACTGCTAGACTAGAGCACAAATATAAAGCTAAATCAGTTTATGAACCTTAGTGCTTACAAATCGTTGTGAAAGCCTTTAGTCTCTCATACTCTCAATATCCCATCTCACACAGTGAAGACTGTCAGTGCTTAGACAGCATTCAGGCAGCCTGGAGGGGCTGCATAGCCAGCTAGACACCCAGAGGAGTCTGTGCAGAGAGATTTCTTCACAAGAGCTTTAGTACTCAATATGAAAGCACTTTGATTTAGAAGGGCCAGAAGTGCTACATTTGACTTTTGATGGACTATTCACAAAAATAATAATTTCTGTGGTTTT